TAGAGAGGACGATAGCGGTGAGGAAGAGGGCTGAGGAGAAGATTCGAAAAATCCACATCGACGAGGATTTGGGAGGGCGCTGGGGAGCGCTCCTTTTTTTGTCGAGGGAGGGAGGTGGAAGATGGATTGGGAGGGGCGGTTCGTTGGAGTCACGGATTCGAGCGGCCGGGTTTGATTTTGAAAGAATCGTCGAGGGAGGGGAGTCGAGTATTGGTCCAAATATGTAGCTGATCTCGTGTCTCTTTCCAAGATTTGTAGACGAGTATGACGATTGCCTATTTATTTATGTTCTGCAGCTGGAGGGATGGTGGAGGCTACCCTTGTAGTTGTTCCTGAACAACAAGCTATGCAAGCACGCGGTGTGAAGGCGGTGGTTGCGCAGAGCTCAGAGGGAGCCTGGAGAAGGCGAGGATTGGGATAAACAGCTTCTGAAGCAGGACATGAGGGTGTTGAGGCGTGGAGAAGCAGTGCAGGATGTGAGGATATGAGGGATATCCAGATGCAAAGCGAAGGTTGAGGTTGAAATTAGAGTTAAATTGCAGTCCAAGTTAAGAAAAGTAAATAAATATCTATACCTATTCACCTGCGGAGTCGCTTTTTGCAGAGAGGAACCTCGCAGCCAAAAAACGGGCGGACAAGAGTTGGATATTCCAATACCTTCAGAATACTTTGCCTCCACAAAACAAAAGATGGAGATATGTTGTTAGTATGCAAATATATATATATATATATGAAAGGACGGCAGAAGCCGGTGAGACGTAAGAAAATAACTTGAAATGGCAGATAACTACAGAAATAAAGAGATGATTTTTAAACAGGTCTTCCAACACTCGGGGTTATTTATCAATTCCCGTGGTTGTTTTTCCTTTTTCCCTTCACTATTTAATTTCGAACCTAGTTCCAAGGAAATAAATAATACTCTTATTTTGCCTTCTTTTGATTTTTCGCTTGTAATCAAATTGACCAGCGAAAATGGCGTATTCTAGTTCGTGAACGTATGGATTTCGAACAACCAGATAAACCGGTTAACTAATGTGGTTATATAGTTAGTTATTTACCGCTGCAGAAAGCGCCTGGTTGCTTTGATTCCATTATCCATGAGTTACGTCTAAGAGACATGTTCGCCGCTCTACGGAGGACTCCGTATGGAACAGTTTTTGCTGGCCTTTTTTCTCTGCTTCCAACAGTGGGAGATTTCCATTGTAACTCTCCACGACCCGCCCGTCAAGGAACCGCACACGAAGCCATAACATCGGTCTGCCTTCTCTCTATCGCAGCAGCTGGGGCGTTCTCTGCGAAACCTTTAAATAGCTCCGCATTTGTTTCAAGGTGGAATCCGTTTCACATCTCAACGCATTACTGTTCAACAAAGCCATTGGCCGGCCCCGTATCTTTTTTCAAAAAGGCAAAGCAAAAACCAAGGTCATATCCATATCTACGGAGATTGCCCAGCGACCATCGCGAGCCCACGATATTCCTAAATGCGAAGTCTTTGTGGATTTTTTGGTCCGGAGATGTTTTCATCTTCCAGCTTACTGTCGAAGTCCCTCCAAAGAGAAATGGGATCAAGCAGCGGTAACAAACTGAAGAGAGGCTGTGTGCTTCACTGACTGCTGCGTAGACCATTGTCTGTTTAACTTGGTTAACTAATAAAAAGAATAAAATATAATAAGATAAAAATATTTAATGTAATCAATAAGCAAGTCAGCCACATAAGTGAGTCGGCCACTTTCCTCTCCACTGTACAACAAGAATGCCTTCAAAGTCTCAACTATAAAGAAAAACTAGCAAATTACATTATAAATTATTTCCTATACACTTAGAGCATGTACAGGCAGTATGCTCAATAATCTCACATACACTACACTGTGGTGCTGCACATTTTTGTGGTCATGACTCAGCAGTCTCAATTACCCCCTATTCTCATTCATTGATCCTTTGTATGTGATTCAAGCCTTCTTCAATTCTCAAAGCACCCTCTTGAGCTACATATGTACAGCCTCTTTCTCACTTCTTCTTTTGTTTGGCATTTGCAGTCCTTAACTCCCTGTTTTCAGCTGCTAGAATAGCAGCACTGTGCATTGTCATTTGACACTTCTTGATCAGCTGACTTAGGGTATGATTGATTGGACTGAGTGGGCTTTGCATACAGTGCTTGATATATTCTTTAACTTTCTCAGCCTGCTGCTCCAATTGATGTATATTATGCAGTGTGACTGTGGCCCAGAAGGCCTGGGAGCTGTGGAAGATCCCTGAGGGAGTTAGAATATGCATCATGATATTAAGCTATGAGAGAATCTGCTCAAAATTGTACAGAATCAGCTCAGCAGTTCTAAAGCTGCTCTTGATGTTGCTCTCAGTCAGGACCTGCATCTGAGCTGCAGGATAGAGATTCAAAAACTTCTTCTTGTCAATATGATTGATCTCAAGCTGCATCTGATTTTCCACCTGCTGTCTGTATGCAGTTTTCAGAGATGAAAAGCAGCTAACATTCAATGACTGAAGAAGATGAGAGAAATGTGACAGCATGTAGAGGACAATGATCTAATTCTCAGTGCAAAATTGATCAAATTCAGCTGAGACATGACTTCAGTATTAGTTTAGAATCAACAGTTGATATCTGTCCTTTGTACAGGATAGAATCTCCTTGTTGAACATCTCTTTCAGTCAGTATAAGCTCAGCTGATTAATGATTCAGTCATTCTCACTGACTTCAATCACTCAGTCATGTGGTAGTCCTTCTGTCTCATATCAGCAGAATTGATGTATCTTTCCTTTGAGAATAATCATCATACATAAAGCTCAGCCAGTTGCATTGACTTCAGCAATAACAATCACTCATTTCTAATCTTCAGACTGTACAAGCTTGATATTCACAGCTCTTTCAGATTCAATCATCACTCTGACAGTCTCAATTACACTCATCTGAAACTCAGTCTCATCAAAGTTGTAGATATCATCTTTCAGAATCTTATACTTTACAATAGTGTTTTGTACAAGTCTAAATCACTCACAGATAATCTCATGATCCTCACATAAGACTCACTGATGATCATACTTGTGTGAGAACTTGGATTTCAGCTCATCATGATACTTGACAAAGTTTCATACTCAGTATTCACTCACTGTGAGTGGGAGATTGAATCCTTAACTGACAAGAAGAAGATTGATCATTTCTCATACAGCTGCAATCCAGAAAGACTGACCTCATTCATCCATGATCAGAATCCATTGAACAAGAGATTCTTCCTCTGTAAGACTAAGTTTCTGGTTCTTTGAGAGAATGTTAATGTGTGCTGTATGACCATGTATCTGATCATCTAGGGTGAAATGTGGAACATCATACAGCTTTGCTGCAGCTCATACACTTGAAATTTGATCATTTTTAAATGCTTGAATGGCTAAAAGAAGCCTTCCTTCCTGAGTAGAGGCTTTATTTCTTTGTGTGATTGACAATTTTGATGATGAAGATGTTGTTCTGGGATGAGATGAAAAGTGACTGACTTGCTTATGTGGCCGACTCGCTTATCGATTACATTAACTGGTTACAACCGACGTTGCTTATCTAATGCGTCCGCCGGCCCCTAAGCCCTAACTGGTTAACGAGTTGACAGTCGAAGTAACTATATCAAAATCAATCCCTCAGCCCAATCTGGGCATGTTAATTAACAACCAGGCCGACGCTGGACATGTCCTTCACTTTGTATCTATTTCCTTCATCCAACGACCCCGACTCCGTTGTATGTTCCGTCTACGCCGTTTATTCAAAATGGCCGAAGAAGCAGCTGCAAAGAGGCTCAAGACCTCCCCCCCCATAATTGGGACCCACAAGTATGTACCGCAACTTAGATATCCACCCCCCTTCCCCAAGAAGAAACTCCTGCTAACAACAACCATCCAGCGGCCACTTCCACGCCGACGAAGCTCTGGCCGTCTACCTCCTCCGCCTCTTACCAACCTACACCTCGTCCCCCCTCATCCGCACCCGCGACCCCTCCCTCCTAGCAACCTGCCACACCATCGTCGACGTTGGCGGCGAATACGATCCCGCCCGCAACCGCTACGACCACCACCAACGAACCTTCACCACAACCTTCCCCTCGCACTCCACAAGGCTCTCCTCCGCAGGCCTTGTATACCTCCACTTCGGCAAAGCCATAATAGCCCAACACACCAGCCTACCCATCGACCACCCCGACGTCTCCACCCTCTATGAAAAGCTCTACGCCGATTTCATCGAAGCACTCGACGCGCACGATAACGGGATTTCCGTCTACGACCCATCTCGCGTGGCGGCGGCAGGGCTAGAGAAGCGCTTTAGAGATGGGGGCATCAACCTTGGCTCGTTGGTGGGGGATTTGAATGGGCCGGATCCCTCGTCGACGGATCCGCAGGACGAAGACTCGCTGTTTGAGAAGGCGAGCAAGTTTATTGGGGATGTGTTCTTGCGCAAGTTGCGGCTCGCGAGTGGGTCGTGGTTGCCTGCTCGCGCGACAGTGAGGGAAGCGTACGAGTCGCGGTTCGATACGCATGAGTCCGGACGGATACTGGTGCTGCCGCAGCCGGGGGTTCCGTGGAAGGAGCATTTGTATACGTTGGAGGAGAAGGAGAATGCCGGGATGGATGGCGTGGCGGATGCGGAGGAGGGAAAGGTGTATTATGTGCTTTATCCGGAATCGACGGCAGAGGGGGCGAGGTGGAGGGTGCACTGTGTCCCTGTCACGGATGCTAGTTTTGAGTCTAGAAGGCCGTTGCCGGAGGCGTGGAGGGGGATGAGGGATGAGGACCTGGATGGGGTGTTGAAGGGTGAAGAAGTGCCTAGCGGGGCGATATTTGTACACGCCAGTGGGTTCACTGGGGGCCATGCGACGAGGGAGGGGGCTTTGGCGATGGCGGTGAGGAGTTTGAGATTGGATGGATGAATTGAGAGGCTGATGGGATGTTAGGGGTATTAATGGAATATAGCCTGGAATGGAAATATTATGGGGAAAATGCTGTTGCTTAAGGACATGTTGTGATCTTGCGCTGAATTGATAGCTGCTATCTTGGAAATGTGTATGAGGCCCAGGAGAACTGTCTATTAGATTCCCTTTTTTCCTCTTTTCCGAAACAGCTGCCATATAGATTCTCTGACAATCAATGCAGAATGGCACCAAGCGAACACTGCTGTATCATGATTCCCAAGCTCTTTCATGAGCTAGCGGTAACATATTTCGATGTGCATATGCCTCTGCCTCCCAAGAAAGTAATAATTGTATGTACATTGCATTGGCCAGCTTTTGCTAGAGACAACCGGTGCCACCTCACCAGGAATGGCGTGCTGCTATTCCTCGGGCAATTCTGTGAGGTTTCCCGGTCCGACCATCGTCTAGCAGCAGCCCACGGACAGAAGTTAGCAGTAGAGTTCTGTCAGAATTCGGATAATGAAATAGAATCTCCCCTTTTGCATTTTTCCTCTCGAGGATGAGCCCGGAGGGTTCTTCTGGGATGCCAATCGAAGCAACGGCAGCGATACCTGTAGCATTCTGACATAGTTATATCAAACCCGTCCAGCCGCAGAGCGCAGAGGCCAATGCGACCTAACAAGGACGGAATTGATGGCAGGCCGCGACATAACTTCTTTATGAAAAACCCCCTTCTTCTTTCAAAATCGCTCAGACTAAAAGTAAACACCAAACCTCCCCCCTTTCACACACCTCAATCCCTCACCCCCAACATCCTCTCCGGCAACGGCCCAATTTCTTCAATATTATCACCCGCAGCACCTCGATTCCCTTTGCGATGCGAGGAAGAGGAATAGGAATAGCCATCACCACTCTGCTCACCCAACACCCTCTCAATAACCTTCGCTTTCGACGCAGCCTTTTTCAACCGCTCGTCAAAGTCCGCAACGGCATCCTCGGAGTTTTGCAGTGAGAGTGAAAGCGGGTCGACCAGGGAGAGGACGAGGGCGATTAGCCTTTGGAGGCGGGGGTTGGAGGGTAATGCGGGCAATGAAGGGATGGGTGTGCCTGTAATTCTGGACTTAGGTATGTCCTTTCTTTCTAGAGTAGGGGTTTGTGCCGTCGAAGCGATGGCAGTGGTGGTATTATCCGAACCATCCACCGCCGCCACTGCTCCTGTTGGAGGGCTCGGCTGTAGCAAAAGGCCATGATCCCCGGGCAACCGTTTAGCCCAGATGATAGCCTTGCCGTAGAGCCTGCCCATTTCCTGGAACTTCTCGAAGCCCTTTTCTACGGCGAAGACGCTGCCTTCGCTGTATCCTGCCCGGGCGCCGTCACGGACTCCCAGGTCGTATCCTTCTTTGTAGAAACCCTCCTCTAGGTCTAGGAGGCTGTCGAGAAGGTCATGGTCCATGGCTGGTGTTGTAAGATGAGTCGACAGTGGGAGTGCGGCATATATGTCATCTGACGACTCCGTAGCTATACCGGAGACGTGGATTGGTTGCTGTAGAAAGGAGGCGTAGTTGATAGTTTGCTAAATAAATAGTTACGTGAAGGCGGTTCAACCGGTGAAAGGGGGGAGACAACGGCAACACCCGCAAATCCCTTCAACCAATACTATATATTTTTCTTCACCCCGCCAAAAACTTTTCTTCCGCCCAACACCACCACCCACCACCACCCCACACTCCATGGCGACGGAACAGAAGATCCTCCCCGTAAAGGGTCAGAGGAATATCCTCATCACCAGCGCGCTGCCCTATGTAAACAACGTCCCCCATCTAGGCAACATTGTCGGCTCTGTGCTCAGCGCAGATGTGTTCGCAAGTTATGGACCCCTCACCTCCACTTCAAGGCCAATCTATGAACACCGACAAAAGCTAATGTCCCCCTAGATACCAGAAAGCATGCGGCAGACCTACACTATTCGTGTGCGGTACCGACGAATACGGCACAGCAACGGAAACCAAGGCACTGGAGGAGGGCGTGACCCCCGAAGAGCTCTGCGCAAAATACAACAAAATCCACCAAGAAGTCTACGAGTGGTTCGAGATCGGCTTTGACATCTTCGGCCGCACCCCAACGGCCCAACATACAGAAATCTCCCAGAGCATTTTCAAGCGGTTACACGAGAACGGATTCCTGGAAGAGAAAACGGCCGAACAGCCCTTCTGCGAGAAACATGACTCGTTCCTGGCAGATCGCTATGTCGAGGGCGAATGCCCTCGTTGCGGCTACGATGATGCGAGAGGAGACCAATGCGATAAATGCGGACACCTGCTGGATCCCTTTGACCTGAAGAATCCGCGCTGCAAGCTCGACGGCGCCACTCCCGTCCGCAGACCTACGAAGCATATTCACATCCTGCTCGATAAGCTGCAGCCGGAAATCGAGGAATGGGTTCACCCTGCCATCGAGAAGGGAAATTGGCCCAAGAATAGCCGCGTGATTACCGAGTCGTGGCTAAAGGAGGGTCTGAAGGATCGTGGCATCACCCGAGATCTAAAATGGGGTGTCCCCGTCCCCCTTGACGGCTACGAGAAGAAGGTCCTTTACGTCTGGTTCGAAGCATGCATCGGATACCCCTCCATAACCGCTAACTACACTCCGGACTGGGAGCTCTGGTGGCGAGATCCGGACAATGTCCAACTATACCAATTCCTGGGCAAGGATAACGTGCCTTTCCACAGCGTCATCTTCCCCGGCACGCAAATCGGGACCCGAGATAAATGGACCAAGCTCCACCATCTCAGCACAACAGAATACCTAAACTACGAAAACGGCAAGTTTAGCAAGTCCCGCGGCATCGGCGTCTTCGGCAACAACGCAAAGGACACAGGTATCCCCCCGGACGTCTGGCGTTACTACTTGTTGAAAAACCGCCCAGAGACAGGCGACACACAGTTCGAATGGCGCTCTTTCGTCGACGCCAACAACGGAGAACTCCTCGCCAAGCTCGGAAACCTCGTCAACCGCATGGTGAAGCTAATTGCAAGCCCGAAAGCGTACAGCTCCGTCGTCCCAGAGTTCACAGTCACGGAGCCATTCAAACCAGCCCTGGAAGAAATCACAGCGCTCCTGCGCCAGTACATCAGCGAGATGGAAAGCGTGCATCTCCGCGCCGGCCTCGTGACGGCCATGAAGATCGTCGAGGTCGGCAACGGCCTTATTCAGGCTAACAAGCTGGATAACTCGCTGATAGCCAACGAGCCCGAACGCGCAGCCTCCGTCGTCGGCATCGTCGTTAATCTCATCTACCTCATCTCCAGCATCTTCAGCCCGTACCTACCGGCCACATCAGCGTCGATACTCGCGCAGCTCAACGTGCCATTCCGGAATATTCCTTCCCTAGACGAGCTGAAGGAGGGAGGGTGGAGAGCAGACCTGATTAAGCCGGGGCATAAGATTGGGAAGGCGAAGTATTTGTTTTCGCAGATTGATCCGAAGAAGGCGGATGAGTGGCGGGAGATGTTTGGGGGGTCGCAGGCGGAGAGGCTGAAGAAGGAGGAGGAGGCGGCGAAGGCGTTGGCGAAGAAGGCGGGTACTAAGGCTAAGAAGAAAGGGAAGAAGAAGGGGAAGGGGGAGGGGGGGATGGCGGGGGGGGCGGAGGGGGCTAAGGATGGTGATGCGGAGGCTGCTAAGGTTGCTAACGGGGTGGGAGGAGAGGCTGAGGCGGCTGTGGTGAAGTTGGCGGATGGGGTAGCTCGGGCTACTATTTCTAGCTCTTGAGATAGTTTCGACCTAGATATGCTTTTATTTCGTTACTCAATTACGATTGCTAAGATACTGCACTTGAATGAATTTTCGGGGTTCATTGGGTTTCTACTATGGTGGCTCGTTATCTAACCCCCCCCCCCCCTTTTTTTTTTTATTCTTGCTCAATAAATCGCGTGTTTTTTTCCCATATATTTATATCTCCCTTCCTGCCTGCTTCTTACCACCCCTCAGCGTATTTCTCCTGAAATCCCGTACTGGCTACACTTTAGTAAGTATGAGCTTTTTTTTTTTTATTTTATATGTCTTCTTACTCTACTCTGCAGCCGGCTTGATGTTTCGAGCCTTAGCTCATCCGTGATTGGGGGTTAGTATCCTGTTCCATCCCATTTCTGCACGGCAAGTGTTGCGAGTTTTTGACCTGTTCCAGGTTTGATATCTGTTTTCATGATCCATAGGAGAAATGAACCAGTAAGTCCCTAGGTGGTCTGAATGAAGAACTAACTATGGAATATGGTAAAGGATGGAGCTATAGTAGGTGAAGGAAGAGATTGAATAAGTTCACTGCACATTTTGGTTCGGCATGGTTAGGCGCAAAAATCAAAAGAAGACATTTTACCTGTCATTCACCACATAATCCCAAGCTTGATGCTTGGGGGAAAGTCACAAACAGAAGAGATTTTTAAAAATTCTCATTATACGCAATGCAATCGAAAAGGCACGACAGTGTTGCTATGTTTACATGCAGGGACGGGGACATGAATGATAAAAAAAACGCTGGGGGTGGTTATTCAAATCAAACTGCCCTAAGTTATTTCTAAAAACGACAGCAAAATGTAAAGAAAATTAGAGGATATAGAATATTCGCGCTAACAAGAGGCAAGAACAGGAAAAGAAAAGGAAAGGAAAAAGGAAAAGAACCCTTCTTTCTTCCTGCCAACCTTGCCCCCTTGAAAGCTCATGTGGTCGCATCAATGCATCTTCAAGTCCGCCACATCATCTGGGAGTTTGAATCACAAGAAAAGAGAAAGGAGGGGGGGGGAAGTGAGTATAAATATCCAGGAAACAGGCGGGTGGTTGTAACATGGCGAGAAAAATAAAATATAAAAATAAAATATTCAAATAACACACACAAAATTTTTTCCCAAATGCGCATCGTTTTCTTGTCCCATTTGCGCCGGCTCGATATGCTTCTTTTTGCTTGATTATATTATTTTTTATTTTTATTTTTATTTTTTTATTTTTATTTATTTATTTATTTATTTTTTTTTTAATTTGGTTCTTTAGTTCTTTCATGAATATGGGAAATTAAATCCATTTTGCTGGTTCTCAAAGTACGGGAAGCGGTTAGTGAGGGAGTGAGTGTCTTGTCTGAATCTCTACTTGCTCCCTTATCAAGTATTCATTCAGGGGATTCCAAGGTTCAATCGTAGCAGGTAGTCATAGTTCCGTGTCTGCCTCCACGTGGCTTATAGCTTTCTGACTTGTTTTTCCCAGATTCGGGGGGAAAAACCTTCCAAGGTCGCTCTTCTAGTTCCCAGCCAAGACTCGGTGTCACTGCGTCTTAATCCGTTCGCTCATGTAAAAAGCATCAGCATAGAGAGCAATCATCTCCGCCTCGCGCCAGGACGCGGCCTGACCTCCTCCGGCACGACGGGATGCATCATAACCTTATTAGGAGTCTGTGGCGTATTATTCGTATACCCTTTACTCCAATCGTAGCTAACGGCATACGCAAAAATATTCCCTGTCTTGTTGAACGCGGAACTCGAAATCGTCCCTCCCACAGCCGGATAGCCCTTAAGTCTATGTTTGGCGTCCTTATCCCAGAAGTGAAACGTGCCATCACTGCCGGCCGTGCTAAAGGTACCATGCACAGGATGAAACGCGATTGAGTTGACAGAGTAGACATTACTAACATCCCGCGTATTGGAAGGACTCTCACGGTGGCACTTGAAGCTAAAGTTCGAGCTAGAGTCTTTATCCTCGACGTACTGAATGGCGCAGCGGCCCTCGATACTGCCCATGGCAAACCCTGTCGCGTCAGTGAAACAGCTCACGACGCGCGTCTGGTATTTCAGCGGCGACTGCATTGTCTTGTAGAACTTCGTGGGCTGGTCGAGGTTGACGATGTTGATGTAGCGGTCTGCTGTGCCGATTACTAGGAGCTTGTTTTTCACGTCCATGGTATAGACCCGTTCTTGACATTCGAGCGTGCCGATTGGTGTCGATTGGCGCAAGTCCCAGAATTTGACGGTTTTGTCCCATGAACCTGTTACTAGGAGGGGTTGGGAGGAGTTTCCTGGGTTTTGTATCATGGCACAGCATCTGATGGGGGCGTCGTGGGCGGCCACTTGGACGGGAGATGTTGCGTTTGCCTGGAGGTCGAGCATGCGCGCAGCTTTGTCGACACCGGCACCAACGACCTTGGTGCCATCCTATGTGTAAAAAGTGAACGAGTCAGTTCAGACTTATTCAAATATATATATATATGTATGTATGTATGTATGTATGTATGTATGTATGTATTTGTATGGCAGAAGAAAGCATTTCCGCTTTATATACAGCTGCTTACAGGCGACCAGCAGCAGTTCAAGACTGGTGCTTCATGTTCAAAAAGGGCCTTGCCCTCACTCTGGCCCTGCTCGTTGATCTCGTATATGCGAACTTTCTTATCCCATGAGGCAACGGCAAGATGATCGCTCACCGACGAGAAGGCAAGATCGGAAATACTGTCTTCGGGGGGGGAGTTGAGAGCTACATCTTTCGAGAGGTCTCCGGCGGTGTTGGAGACCGCCGTGGTGGATGTTGCCGTGCCGAAAAGCGCCATCCTGAGGCGAGACTCCTTTCCTGGCAACGCCTATTTCCAGACCTGTAAATCCGCTTGGGGCTGTATGCGCAGGCCTGCAACGACGAACAGCAGTCTCAGCTGGTTAGGAACCGGACTTGTTGGGGGAGGGCAGGTGGTTGCTGCTCGTCCTTGAGCGGGTGTATTTCTGGGGGAGCGTTTTAAAAAAAGACTTGACGTTCTTTTGAGCGGGGGGATGCCAGTGCAAACAGGACAAACAGGACAAACAAGGCTTTGGCTGGATCGCCTCCTGTTGGGCAGCAGCAGACCAGACGTAGACGTGGTGGTGGCCTCTTCTACGAGGAGTGCGGTGTTTTTGTTCATCGTTGATTTTGCTAGAAAAACACGGGCTATTTGCTGCTGCTGCTGCTGCTGCTGCTGCTGCTGCTAGCTACCGATACTTTCGCAGACATTTCTGCTGCCTTCAAAATATTTTCGAGGGGCTATTTCTTCCCGTTCTGCTCAACAAAAATGTTGCCAGAATAACCAAGTTACCCCCCCCATGAACCAACAACCCATGATGCCAGATTAACTTGCGCGAGTGAAGCGAAGCAAAAAATAATTTTCTTACTTTCCCGAGGCAACTGTTACAGTCTGCAACTGTATATCTGTTCTCTCGATGATCAGGATCCAGCTGATGGGGCCTGGGAAATGTGAGAGCAGCATATCGTTCTCATATCTTGACTCGACCCAACCATCCTCCCTCAGCCTTTTCAATGGGGCCGTTGAGAACCACTACAAGTACTCGAATCGAAGCAGCTAGTTATATCTTACGTGTCCTACCGAAAGCTGCCTCATCTAGAAGTATCTAGAGCAGCAGGAAACATTCCTCGCCATTCCGGCTCTGACGTCCGGGGGAAGCGCCATTCGGGCGCACGTAGCAGACGAGATGAGTGAGCTGTAATGTTGCTTCTTTATCCAGCATATCGTGCATGGACACTGAGATCTCCAACATTAAAATGCGCCCTCCATGTGGATATGCATATTGATATTCCGTGGGATCCTTCTGGCCCGGCCTGATACTCTCCAGAAGCACGTCGATGCGGTGACGAATTTTATTATATACCAGAGACAAGCATGCTAACCTTATTTAGGTTATCTGGGTGCCAGTTATAGCAGATAAATAAGCCGCAATTTCACTCATGAGGGGGTTAAGTAAATGTTTTTTTTTTTTTTTTTCTCTTTCATCTGCATGTTTGTTTCTCAGCGTAATACCCTCTCATCGGTAAGCTTTTCTTTTCTTTTCTTTTCTTTTCTTTTCTATTTATTTATTTTTTAATTTTCAAGCAGCCAATCAATTCAGGCAATTCAGGCATCAGGCTTCCTTAGGGAATCTCGAAATCGACTGTTTTTACCGGCTGAAATTGTTTTTATTCCTCGAGTTTCCTTTCTGTATTCGAAGGAAAATGATAGAAAAACGTAGAACGGACTATGTATGTAGTGCAACGAAGGCGGGGCCAGAGTCAAGCCGCAGAAGGGACCCATCACAAGACATCGTCAAAAGCGGCTGCCTAACTATTAGTTAATAGTTTAACTGGTTATTAGTAATCGATAAATGTCCTGGAAGTTAATGAATTCATCTCGAGATGTCCAAGAAAGCCGGTGCTTCGTTACCAGAGTGTTTTATTATTAGAGTGTGTCGATACCGAACAACAGGGCCAAGTCGAAAACGTCTGTTGTTGATGTCGCAGCGCGGACCGAGTGCACAGCGAGCGCGGCGGCAAAATGCGGGGGTGCAGGGTTAGTGGCAAGGGCAAAAGAGGAGAAACGACTAGACTAGCAGGCCAGTTGCAGAGCTACAAAACAATGAATGACCACATCGTTTCAGAACAGAAGAACGAGAAGGAGAGCAAAGTGTGCTTCTATACAGGAACACCGGGGATAGCAGATGGGTAGTAGTTGAGATATCACGAATCATAGAAGGCCGTTGGATGGAACGATTCCACGCAACCATGGATGATGCATGCATGCAGCATGGATGGAGTGGAAATGGATGGAATGGATGGAATGGATGGGGGGGCTTTGTTGGACCCGGGACCCTCAGTCACGCAACCCAGCATTATTTAATACCCGGCAAGCAACATCAAGCGCAACAAGACCGCAAGTAGAGTAACTCACTACCTGAAAGGTACGTCATCCGACGATGGAATACCACCATCCGTACCAGTCACTTCGGAGTCACCCCATGGGTCACATCAACCCCCGCTTTTTCTTGGGGGGGGGGCGGGGGGCGGGGCTAAGGGCCGGCCTAAGAAGTGTTTGACCTGCGCTGACTGACTCAGCCGTGTCGTGTCTGGCTGCTTCTGACCAACGCTAGCTACTCTTGACGCCCCCCCCCGTGTGCTTCCTGCTCACGTACATAGTCATTCTCTTCCCCTTTTCCTCTTTTAATCTTCTCTTCTCGTCTTCTCTCCCAGTCACCAACCACTAAAGCCCCCCCCCCCTCATTCTCGGCCCCTTCCCATCGATCAGTTCGTCTAGATCATCCTGTGCCTGACTTGCTCTCCCATCCCTTCCCGAGCTTCCATCTGACTATCTACTTCTGACTCCACCCCCGTTGTTCGCGGTCCTCGTACCAGCTCTCAACGGTAGGCGAACCCTCTCCTCCCCTTCCTCCATTCATCCATCACACCCTGAACCATCACCACCCCCCCCCCCCCCCCCCCCC